CATGCAGTGGCAGAAGGATACTTCCTAAATTAGTCAAAAATAACAGTATAAAGACCTGATGTTGGCATCTATTACTTATTAAAAAAAAACTTTTTAGAAGGCAAAGATGAATAGAAATCAAGCATACAATTTCCTCTCTTTTACCTAATTTTCCTTTGTCAGATTCTAAACATCTACTCTGTGCACTGGACTGAATGCTTCTTGTCTTAAAAATACATATAAGGCTTATTTGCTAAGCTCAGTGAATTATTTTTCATATCCAAACAATAAAATCAAGAATGCTAGATTGTTCAGTATTAATATCTGTAAATCTTGATGGTTCTACCTTCAAGATGTAGCCATAATCCTGCTACTTTCCATCACCTTGACTAGCACAATCACTGCTAAACTAACCCTTCTCCCTCCCACCTCCACTGCCTTCTCTGCTTTTCTCTCCAAATAGCAGCCATCCAAAAATGTCACCCAACTGTACCTCTCTGTATCATCTAACAGCCAGCACTCCCAGGCTCAATCCATTCCTTCAGTCATGCTGGCTTCCTGGACTTTACTAGAAACATCCTGGCACAGACATTTCTCTGTTCTTTCGAAGGTCTCCAGGTAACCCAAAGTTCATTCTTTTGCCTCTTTTATGGCATTGACCAGATGTCACTTTAGCAGTAATGTCTCTGGCAACTTTTTACATAACAGCACATATGTGTTAGCATTCCTCATTGCCCTTCCTGTTTTTCTTTTTCTGCATGATATTGACTACATTTAAAATATTTTTATTCATTGTCTGTTTTTTTTTTCCTCTCAAGGTAAACTCCAAGAGGTCAGGGATTTTTTTTTTTTTTTTTGTATTATGCATGTCTATCTCCTCGACACATAGAACATACCTGCTACTTCTTAAGGAAGAAATTATTTATTTATTTATTTATTTATTACAAAAGTTTATTTTTACATCATTTTGCACATTTTTTTTCCATCTCGATTGTAATCCCCGTGGGTTTCCTATCACCAAATCATCCATGTGCCACCACCATGGTCCTGTGCATTTCCCTAAGGAAGAAATTTTTATTGCATGAATGATCTATTGTCAAAGCATTACCTAGTTCATTCAATGTGTGGGGCTACAAAGATATTGAGGAAGGTCTTTCCTCATCATTTACATTTCAGAATGATTTCATTAAGGGGAGCAGAACCCCTGAGTAGTGAGCCCAGACCCTGAAGATCAGCTAGACCTAGGTTTAAGCGATAGCTTCGCTACTTACAAGCTATGGTGCCTGGTAGGTTATATAAAGTCCCAACCTCAACTTCCTCATATGGAAAATAGCAATAATAAAATTACCTTCACAAAGTCAAAAAATTGGTGAGTACATGGGCATCAAACATAACATAGGACTTATAATAAAATCTCACTACACATGCATTATTACTATAATCATTAGTATAATAATTACCCTTTTTGTTTATTTTTTTTAAAGAGCAGTTTATAAATATTTTTTCTTTTGACCAGGAGAATTAGTTCACAATATGAGTTGTTTCCTGTTGCTTTTATAACTCATTTTATTTTATAACTCATTTTGACATCTTAAATATTTTGGTTTTGAACAAACATCCCTTAAAGCTAGTATCTATTATGATGTCTACAAAGGCACCATTACTGGCTGCATTATGTATAAGGAAAGAGACCCAGCATCATGGGGTGAGTATTCAAATCCTACTTGTTCAACCTCCAAAGTTTAGACCCTTTCACTTTGAACTTGCCCACCACCCTAGAAATATATCTAGTATCTGAGGATTCAAAAAGTGTGGTATAGTTCAAGTAAGGGGTGTAACAGGCTTAGGATTGGAGATGAGGCGGCCAGATTACCTTCCATTCAGTATGAGATAGATTTTTAACCTATAGGCTCTCAGAAGACCTCAAAGGTGTTAAACTTGGGAATAATTTCAGAAAAATATAAAATGACAGAATTTATCTATATTTATTTGTGTCATTATGACTATAAAGATACTAAAAGTAATACATTTCAGACTGGGAAAATGGTCAAGTTAGAACCAGTTAAATAGTAGGCAAAGGCTCTTTTTTTAAATGTAAGCAACACTTCATGGCACATCATGACTAAACATTGTCTCTGAAACAGTTAAATAGATACCCATTTAAAATTGTAAGATACATGAAATAGAATATTTTTGCCAATGATGGCATGCCACTGGAATTCAGAAAAAAATAACTAAGAAGTGGCTTCTCTGAAAAAGTGCTCAAACTATTTTTGTGTAGAAATGTCTCTAACTCTTTAATACTTTTTGCAAAAGAAGAATGACTGAGAAACTAACTAATGGGTGATAAATGTTTATTTGATGTTTACTAAAAGTGGCCTTAAGAAAAAATCAATTAAGTGCCTCCTCGGTGGCCCAACAGGTTAAAACACAGTACTATGACACTATAGAAGCCACTGAAGCACGAGTTTGAGTTCGATTCCCAGCCAGGGAGGTGACCCGCACTATGTGGCAGCCCTCTCTCAACCCGCTAGCTGCTCCCCTCAGCAGTGTATTTCAGTACATCTGTCTGTTCTGCTCCCCACTCTGTCTCTGGTGAATTTTCTCACTTCCCCGCACCTCTGGCCTGTACCTCATAAATAAAATAAATCTTTAAAAAAGAATAAAAAATAGAAGAACCAACTAAATGGTAAAATATATGGGTAACTCACTGCTTTATACACATAGCTAATGTTAACTTTAGTTTCGTAATAAGATATGGAAAATGGCAAACTTTAAGAACTATTTTGTTTCTTCAAAATCTTTCAGCCACTGACTCTAGATTCATTTTTTGTCAGCAAATAAAGATAAAATGAAAATTATGGTGGTGACTTGAGACTCTCCATAAGTTGATTAAATGTATTAGAAAACTCCTATGCAAATGAATATAGTGCTGGTGAAATAATAAAGACTTCCATCAGCTGCTTGTAGCAGTTAAAATACCTTTTCCTACACAGATGTTGGCCTCAGAAATTTCTTTTTGTGTTTTACTATTAGAGAAGCACAACAGTGTTGACTGAATCTATTAGACATTGATGTTCACTTGAGGATAAGTAAAGCCAAATCAATTGAAATAGAATAGTAATCAAAGTAACACAAGTGAAAATGAGGGAATATAAATCCCAAATATATATATATCTGGAGAGAGAGCGAGCAAGCTGAATTAAAAATAATATGAATGTATATGTGTATGAGATACCAGGAAAAGTGTGAGAATTGCATTTGACTTTTAATTGTTTACAAAGCTAATCATTTCATCTAAATATCTTTTTGAAGTGTAATTATATTATGAATATAGCTTGAATTTTCTCTCTAGTTATTACAGGTAGGTATGTTGTATTTCTCCAACTCTTTTATAAACTATCTGAGAAAACAGTTTTCTCAGTTTTCTCTTCTGTTCTTTCATTTATACCACCCAACACAGTTACAAAGAAGATGCTTGATCCCTAAAAATAAACAGTTTTGAAAATAGTTTGAATCTACCTCTTATGCTTGGAACTGAATTCTGTGGAAGAAAATTAAGTCGTTGATGTGACAAATAAAACCTATTATGTGTTTTAATGACAAAGTATTCTTTTTTGGATACTATCAACAATGGTATGGATGAGTTGTAGAAGAGGTAGGGGGAAATAGCCATATAGATCCCAAGCCAATAGTAAAATTTTCATCAGACCTCAAAGACTTTCTGTTCTCTATTCTTTAGTGAAAAATATTCCCAAGATCCCAGGTTGAAAGAACTATCATAACATTAAATTATGCAATAATCCTGGGGTATCTGAGGCCACTGAACTAACACACATATATTAAATCTTTTTTTAATTTAAAATTAATAAGTGAAATTAAAGGTGAGTCAAAGTTTGTATAGCTCATTTTAAGAATTACAGTATGGAAAGTCAATACACTGCTGTGAGGGAATACATAGCTTATCTGTCTCTGATAGCTAATGAATTCCTTCCTATTAAAATTTAATTGAAAATCTTCAATGATATTTAAGCTTTCACAGAAGTGTAAACTATGGTGGCTACAATTCACAATGCATTTAAAACAATTATTCTTTATCATTAAAGTTAATAATATGCACATTAACCTCTTATGTAGTCTAAATCAATATTGTCGTTTAAAAAATATGACCTCTGGACAGCTTTGTCTAAATATTGATTTCATTGTCATTTGTATAAGGTATCAAACAAATTACATGCTGCGCTAATATCATTAATGCTGCCCCCACAGAGCCTCTGACTTTACAGGTTCCTACAATACAGGACATGACATTACAGAAATATTGAGGACATCACAAAATATAATTGCCAAATGGACAAGATTTGACTATGGCTGGGCAGGGTTGCTGTAAACAGATAACTACTCTCTGTGGAAAAAAATACTGTCTTTAACATGCAGATTGATTGTTGAGGTTAAGTTTCAAATAGAAGAATTTTTTTTCTGCCTCAGAGGGTTTAATCTACCACCTTGTGATACTTTAGATATTGCAGAAGAGATTATTAAAACAGATTAAAATGTAATTCTCCAATATATCAGTTTTATCAAAATAAACCCATTTAGGATTGTCAATTACAGGTTATAAGTGAGGCAGATGAGTTGGAAAATATGTGCTTAAAAGTCAAGAGAGTGGGTGAAACTTTCAACTGGTCATTGCAGAACTGAATAAAAACTTATTTAGGGATGGATATGCACCACTCATAGTTAGCACTTACATTATTACTATTATTTAAAAAAATCATTGCAAATTGAAATACAAGCTATATAAATTACTCTTTTACTTTTCTCAGGTTCTCAATTGCTATGAGTCACAATTGTTAATATCATCCAGATAATATCTAACTCACTTTAATATTTTTTAATTCTTAAAATCGTGTTTACTTTTGTTTTCAGTAAAACTTTTTAGAAAAGAGATGAGGTCATGAACATGACACTGACGGTGGGTGCTATTTATATTTAAAATGTTCCCTCCAAATCTCTTACAGGTAAAAGCGACCCATTTTGTGTAGTTGAACTGAACAATGATAGGCTACTAACACACACTGTCTACAAAAATCTCAATCCTGAGTGGAACAAAGTCTTCACATTGTAAGTAGCCATTACTTTAAACTCATTTCAAAAACAATGCTAAATAATATTTATTTTTGAGATTTTTGCATGTGCGTTTGTTCTTAACCAATTAACAACTCAATCTATCTGGCCTGACTGCCAGCAAATGAATTTTGTAATCACATTACCTTCCTGATACGTGAAACCTGGGGAAAGGGTATGCCATTTTTCTTTGTTTTCATAGCTGTTTCTTTAAACCTAACTTTTTATACGACTTGACTAAGGATTTTGCTCCCATTAACTGAATTGCCATCCTGCTTCTTCCTTTTATACTTTCTATTGAAATTCTCCCCAGTTGCACTGACACCCAGGAGGACAAAGCTCCATTTGTTCCATTGCTCAAATCAGCAAACAATTCGGTCTCAAATTTGACAGATGCTTTATTTTTGGTTTGTTGCATTTTAGCACAATAAGAATATTAAGTATTGTTCTGCTTGCCTAAACACCCTTCGGGTTAATTTTCCTTTTGTTTTAAAAAGTTTGTGAATCTTTTCTATCATGCATTGTAAAGCTGTCAAAGCTACACGATGGTATCTCCTAAGCTTGCAGTCTTTTTTTTTTTTTTAACTGAACTTTAGAAATGAACTCTCAACAAAGGAAAACTCTCCAAACAGAAGTACTTCTTAAAAGTTTTCTAACATAGCTTTATTTTTTGTATATGAAAAACCACTAAATTCCTCATTAATTTCTTATAATGTCTCTGCTTAAGTGCCAGTAACTAATCAGCTTTAATTATCTGACCAATTTATCTTTAAGGAATTCCACATTTTTATAAGAGATGAAAGCCTGGTCAGGGGACCTACACTCCTAAGAAGATTGTGGAGAGTGTTTTCTCTGGAATGCATAATTGAATGAATAGGTTTGATTATTATCAAAGCCATTAATTGATTGTGCCCTGATAAAGCCTCTTCTCACATGTGGTTGTGGTCTTTCTGTAATGAATATCTTCATTTTTTTGTTTTCTCTTAATTCATGTTTTCTTGGTGGAGAGTTTGTTCAGAGAATAAATGCTGTCAACAATTGGGGCTTATTTTCCAGAAACAAAATTAAGAAGAGCTCGCACGGTTATTTATTAACATATGTTGTCTTTGGAACATAATGGAACATTTCTTATTTCCAAATCCCAGGGTGGCACAATACCTATCAGTGTTACATTTTCTCCATCCTGTCTTCTGTGTAGGTTAATTTTTACTACAAACCTAACAGTAATAAGTAAATATTTTTAGTGATGGCTGTGGACAAAAAAAATAGATGTGCTATGATTATAAAAAAAAAAAAAAAGAAAAAGAAAAACTGTATGAAATATACTGTGAATTGCTGATGGCAAACTTTGTAGTGTTCTATGTGGGGTTAATAGAAAGAGGAATTATTGTGATAAATAGAAGGCAAAGACCAAAAATCACCGGTGCCACTGGTTGATGGTTTGTGGGTTATTGATTTTAAAAACAAAAAACAATAACTTCTTCTGCACCCATCCAAATGGGAAATTATATTTCACTAAAACTTATAACAAATTACAATGGTATTAAAAGTTCCTGATAACAGAACCATGTAATTCACTAAGGTGCATTGTGGGAAATTCTGTCAGAGACCAGGCTACCTAGTGTGTATATGTATGCAAATAGCCCCCATAAAATACACATACACACAAAATCAGCTGGGGCTATCCAAATTTACAAAAGCATTTTTGTTCTTTCCCCCACTGATGAAGTCTTCTTTTCTTACATATATTTATTATGCAGCAACATTAAAGATATCCATTCAGTTCTTGAAGTGACAGTTTATGATGAAGATCGGGATCGAAGTGCTGACTTTCTGGGCAAAGTTGCTATACCATTGCTGTCTGTAAGTTTTATTCACCTGACACACTGCTCTGGGTTGCTTTTGCTCAAGGAATAAAAAAAACCTCAGCTCTCTATCTGTCATTTCTCAACCAAGGTCTGTAATAAGAACACTAAAAATTTTAACATACTCAATTCACGGCCATGTTGAATCCCATGATAGTTAATTTTTCCTGACAGACTTGATCCTGGTAATGAACAGGTACTTGTCAGAATTGCCACAGTTGTTTTGGGTTCTCTGTCAGTTTCAGCAGCTGGGGGTCAAAGGTCACTGAGAGAGTGTATTCAGTGGAGACCGCGAGACAGACGGCTGTCATGTCCTTTTCCCGCAGATTCAAAATGGTGAACAGAAAGCCTACGTCTTGAAAAACAAGCAGCTGACAGGGCCAACAAAGGGGGTCATCTATCTTGAAATAGATGTGATTTTTAATGCTGTAAGTCTTAACTTTGGCTTTTTTGTACTGCTAAAGAGTTCAGTTTCATGAAAGCTTTTGTTCCTGATTTGTAGAGAATTTCTGTCATTCCTCATTTTCTCTAAACCTTGATGTATCCTGGAGAATACGCTTCTGCCACTGCCTGGCACACCCACACTTTCTGTTATAGCACAGCGCCTGCTGTGCTCCGACCGCTGCTCGCCGGCATAAGAAATGGAAGCGCATGCATGTGCAACTGTATACATTTATATTTGATGAGCACAGCGGCTAGAACTTTGAAACTTTAGAAATTAGTGCAAATTGAACTGCGTGAAAAACTTGTAAACATTTGCTATATATGAATCCATAACAGACACATATGTTGATGTATAGGTGAAAGCCAGCTTACGAACATTAATACCCAAAGAACAGAAGTACATTGAAGAGGAAAACAGACTCTCTAAACAGGTAAAAAGCAAAGAAAGATTAATCCCTCTGGGAAGACCTGATTATATCTGTAAAACATCTAAGTAAATTCAAATAAACTTTGGAGGTATGGAGGGGGGAAGACTGGAATTTTGGACCATCTACTACTTATGTGAAATGGCTCTTTCTTCTTTTCTCTTTTTTCTTTTCCCTTCCTTTCCTTTAAAGATCAAACAAGGACAATACCAAACTAATAAATTGGATGGGGGTGGTCAGAAAAGAAAGGGGATACTATAGGTGCTGCATAGAATGGATATGTATTCATGCATTAGCAAAAGAATGATCATTTTGAACCTAAAATACAATTTGATTGCCATGGAATGTGTAAATGAGATCACCAAAAGCTGAGGTTCAAATATGTGTCCAGACCACCCACAGGTATGATGCAGGTGTGTGTAAGTCGAGCCCGCATAAAGCTCTTCCCTCTAATACACAAGAGAGGGGGCTCCATCTTTTAAGGGAAACCTTCCTGTTAATTAGATTTTGACTATGATCTTTCAGAAGTGAACTTTCATTGGCATTTTTAGTTAAAAAAAAAAATCAGGCACTCTGATTTTTCCATCATGAAGGAATTGTAAATTAGGCTTGATATCTTGTAATTAGATTTATAGTTTTTAAATTAGATCTGATATCATGTTAAGAAAGATTATTAAGCTACACCTTTAAAAATGTTTACTTCCAATTGGCACAGTTAAAATAAAATGTATTTGTTATGTCTCTAAAGTTTACAGAGCTCATTTGTGTGTGATAAAATATTTAATAATTTCCTGTGTTATTAGCAGACTAAAAAATATTTTTTAAGCAATCAATTCAGTATAAACAGTGCAAGCTTTGTTTGTTTAAAGACTATGCATATACAATGCCTACCTAGTAGATATACAGATTATATTTTTCTACAATTACAGATAAAAGTAATAAAAGTAGTTCCTGAAGGAAGGTGATCAGGGGCCAAGAAGAAAAACAAATAGGAAGTCTCTTTACTTTACCTGAAAGGAATTTCAATTTTAACAATTTGTTAAAACTGGTATGCATGTACACGCATCTATATTTACACACATACACTAACACATGATTTTTTTTTTTCCATTTGGCCTCGGTAAACTTTACATAGCCATTATTTTTAAAATACCAGATCAGCATTGAAGTTTATTTGCAAGTAGCAAAATATTAACCTGCAGACATAATGTTCTAACTATTAACATAGCTGTAGGTAAATTTTTGAACTATCAGATAAGTGTATAGTTTACCCTTTCATAGTTGTAGTAGTGCTTCAATTTAAATTTTGAAGTTAAAGTATATCAATACACATTTTCCTTTTTTAATAAAAATTTTGTAAAGCCCTTGGTTACCATAAATTTTTCTGTAACTCCACAAAAATGAAAAAGAAAATTACTGGTTAAATTTATTGTGGGAGAGAGAGATTGATAGAGAGGTAGATTGATAGAGAGAGAGATAGATTGATAGAGAGAGAGAATATGTTATAATAAGAAAGAGTAAATCAGCTAAAATAGTTTAAAAATTGTTTTCTATAATAAAACAATATTTGATGGGTTTTTCACTAAGACCCTAAATAAGATCATTCTCAAGTTATCCACTTCACTTTAAAACATCTTAAGGTTAAAAAAAAATTTTAAAGTTAAAACAGCTAGAGAATCTTAAAACCACAATAAAATTTAAGGGTTAAAATTACATATTTAAGGTAAGCTAAGCAGTCTATAAGCAGCAAAAAATATATTTTTAATCTGTTGGCAGTTTTTACTTTTGAGCAAATGAAGCCCAGCTTACACGATAATATTATTTAAGAAAATATCTGTTGTTGGCTTAGCAATTTCTCATAATTTATTTCTTTCCACCCTCTCCAGAGAAACTTCTTTCCCTTCAACTTGTTATCCAAACTGCTTGGTCTACTATTACAACTTTGTTAACTTTCGGAATCCTTTCACATCACAAAAAGCTTGGAGAGTTTTATAGAATATCTGCTGGTTTTTAATCTTGCAAAGTCTAATCGCATGTTCATCTTCCTTACAGCTACTCCTAAGAAACTTTATCAGAACGAAACGTTGTGTCATGGTGCTGGTAAATGCTGCATACTACGTTAATAGTTGCTTTGACTGGGATTCACCCCCAAGGAGCCTGGCTGCTTTTGTGGTATGATCATACTGTATTACTTACATTGTTATTCATTAAATTCAGTAATCATAGCTGCATGTTTCTGTGGCTATAGTAACAGTTATGTTGATGTGGCCATTTAAAAACTCCTATTTTAAGACTTAACTGGACAGATTTGCCGTGGGCAGGAACCTGATGGATTGCTCAAGGTCTGAGTCCAAGAATATATTTCCCCCCCTCAGATTTCCGGAATGCAAGACATCTCAGCCAATGTATAATTTTCTCTGTGACAGCTACAAAGTAAAATTCTACATATTGCATAATTCCAAATCCCAATAGCAGAGCCAAGAAAAGTCCTTAGTGTTAAGAAAATTAATAATCTTGACCATCCTCAATTCAAAATTATTCATCCTATAGATATAATTTTCAAAAGAGGAAAATTTTTGGCAGAATGCTGGTCAGTAATATTTTAGTATGTGAATCAATTGGCATGAATGTGACCTTTTTAAGAGATGCCCTATTATTTCTGAGATTTTCAGTTTTTAAAAAGGCACAGTGAGAATTTGATGATACAAATAGTCCTCTAACAATGTTCATCTTGTAGTCCTTTACTTTGGCTATTTAAAAGCTGCTGATGAGACCAACTTGCAGAACTGAAAATTCGAAAGGCTACTTTCCTCTGAGCTTTAGCTAGGATTTTCTGCGCTTACGTTATTTTTGCTTATTCAGGATTTCAGTTTGATGTTTAAGTGGAGTTCTTCTTTTGAAATTCTTTTTTGTCATAATTATTATCATATGAGTACCTTATGTGTCCTTATAATTGCCAGTTTAGCAGAATATGACTTTATTATGGGGGCTCAGAAGAAGAGTCTGCATTATAGTAACAAATCAACATTTTAGTATTACTATTCAGATAAATGTATGCACATCTGCTTGGTACTTTGAGCTCTGTTCTCCTCTCAGGCCTTGTATGGGACTTTCATTAATGTCTGAGCACATGGAACAAAGAGTGTGTATATCCCTTTGTGTTGTAAGTTACCAGAAAGTTAGGCAGCCCGCTTCCCATAGACATGTGTTGTCTCCTTACAGAAAGCAATAGTCATCATCATTAAGTTTTAGAAAAGAAAATCTGCTTCTTTCAACATTCTTTATTTGGCTTTTTCATATAGTAAATATATCTAGGTATTGTTAAACAAACTTTATTATGATTTTTTTTTTTTACTAACCTAGAGAGACACTTTGACATTAATGAGGGGTAAATGATACTGAGGCCTCTATGTACTATTTGATGTCATTACTTCCAAAGCTCAGGGAGCATTATACAATAGATAATATTCTACCGAAAAGGTTGTGCTGCCATCTTTAATACAATCCTTCCAAAGTCATTCCTCATGGCTGCTTACAAAATTTGAAAACAGAGAACTGAGTGTAATTATATCTTCTGTTCAGGAATATTCATTTCAAACGTTTTGGTATTGCATTGTGTAATAACTCTTCAATAATCTTCATCTGGCTGCTAGAGATCGCTCACATAAAATGAATTCAAGATGGTAGACTTTACCACAATTTCCGTCTGATAAAAAAAAAAAAAGGGCACTGAAATTCTGAGAAACTTGCATACATGCCCATGATAGCAGTGAGTGAGTAGAGTGAGTGATAGAGTGAGTGATTTCACTGTTAAAGGCACTGAAGTTCACAGGACAAGACATGTAAACTATCTTTCTTAGTGGTCACTTTCTACAGATTTGGCCCTGCGAAACGCAAGCTGAAAAAAGGAGGTAGGACTCAATAAAGCTAGGAAAGGGAACTGTTGGCACAGATGGTGGGGAAAAAAAGAAGCCACAAACTTCAATGTGAATGCACATATGAAGAAACAATATTTACTGTTCAGTTGAAAAAAAAAAATAAGCACTGAATTACATTCTATTGAATGCAATCAAAACAATGAATAACAAAAGCAAACTTTTTATGGAGACCTGAATTGGAACTTCCATGAAAATGGGAACATAGCTCTTTCACCCTGGTCCTCAAGCATCACTTGCAGGGGTTCTAACACCTGCTAGGCTCCCAATATAAAAGCTGTCTAAATCAATCCACCAACCAATGAAAACATCAATCAGAAAATTTTCTCATGTAGAGAAACCCTTTTATCAATGGTGCTAGCTGAATAAGGGTTTGCTGTAATATTAAATGATGATAGGCATAGCTTAATGCTAATGTAGCAGTCTTCCTTAGGCTTTCCACTTAAATGCTAAACTATTTCATATCCTCTATCAATCACCAGTTTCAACCTTAGATTAAATTCTGTCATAAAAGATTCATATATAATAATAATAATTAGTATTTGTTCAGCACTTATGTACCAGGAAAATATTTTCAGGCAATAATGCGTGAAAGTGCTTTTTATGTATTAACAATTTTGATATCCTCAACAATGTTATGAAATATTGTCATTCTCCCAATATACAGAGGAAGAAACTGAGACATAGAAAAGTTAAATATCATGTCCAAAGCCAGCAAATATCATTCCCTTTCCAAAAGAGTGCTTGAATTATGTACCTTATATTCTTCATAACATAACAGCAACATAAAAACCTGTAGAATTTTTATTCGTGTTATTGCAGATATGAAATGATGTGAATACTTAAAAGTGAAACTCATCAAAGATTATTGCATAACGAAAGCCTTTTTAGGGCAGTTTATTGCAAAGAACTGCTTTCTATTAGGAGAAGCGTATGAGCAGCACCCCATTGTTACAAACATATTGTTCCCATCATTCCCTGTTGATGGATCACAGGTCTATTATTATAATATTGGTTCCACTTGGCCCACTTTTTCATAAATGCAGCTGCCCCTGGACACATGCATTTGTGCCATCATGTGGCTTGGTTTTAGGCCCAAATCAGTAAACTTTATACTGCATAAGTGCCTTTTCTTCTATGCCACTTGATTTTTCTTTTCTAATTTACTATCCAAAAATAAGTGTGGAATAAGGAAATCAAAATGAAAAAAATAATTCTTTTTTTTGGTCTCAATGTCAATTAAAGTAGAAAGCACAAGACATGCAGGGTCAGAGCTGCTCTGGCTTTTGGGCACTGTCTGTGTCCTGTGGGGAAGATTCAAGGTGGCCCGGTGCTAGAAGCTGAAATCATTCTGGAAGGTGATGGATAAAATATAAGCAAACACCTTCCTGGGAATGTCCTTGTTTTTGTGAGCTATGAATTAGGTTTTTAAATTTTACTATGAATATTGTATGCTGAGGAGCGAACACTGGCGTATGTAGTACATGAGACACTGCTTGTCTCTTGGAATCATCTATTGTAGATGTGGAAATGTCTCATAAATTGGGTCTAATTTTCATCAGGCTCTTGACCAGACATTTGTGTTCTGTGGATGTCAGTGGGTACAACATAGAGGGGAAAGAGTGTGCATTCTCTTTTTCTTTTCCGTATTGTCATTTCTCACTGTAATGAGGACAAAAATAATTGGACAACTGAGCTATCAGTAAAAGGACACACTTCCGTGTGCGTCAAAGAATTATTTTACAGGACAAACTTTAATCTTTAAATGTGATTGTAGATAATTTGTGGTACCATCTGTCCATTTGGAATTGTTTTAGCCTTTTCTGTCGTTATACAGTAAGTGCTGCTGTGTTTAACATTAACATTTGATATTTTACACATTTAATTTCTGTTCTGCTGTGTGGTCCTTAGGGAACAGAGCGCTAGTGCTACATGAGAGAGACAAAGTATTGATCAGTTAACATTTCAGCTACATTTATGTATGTCGCAAAATTAATGAAAATGCCAGACAAAAATGTCAGAGTGCACAAAAAGGTAGAATTTAAATTTGGTAGTTTAATGAAAAGTTTAAGATGTGCATTATCAAAAATGTCCTGTTGCCTTTAAAGTACAATTCCTAACAGAATAACTAAAGGGAGACACATATTTTACTTAGAGGAACAATGAACATGAATTATGAAGGGATGTCAGCTCCTCAAAGTACCTTGTGTTCCAAAATGGCATGTTTGAATGCTTAACTATCACTCATAAAATACATTTGTTTCTGTTCATATCTGGAGGGCTATTGGCTTCCACTCTCTGCTGACCAGCCTAGAGACAGGCTTCCTACTGAGATTCTCCCCCTAGGTTTGCCTTGGTATCCATGTGTTCCTTTTGTGTCAAAACTGAGAATTCCCTCTATAGCAATTCATCGAGGCCACTCTGGTTCATTATTCGTCTCTTTCTGGGATCTTTTCAAATGCCTGGTTTTCCTTTGCTCCCAGATAATTTGTGCTCCACCTTCATTCAATCTCCATTTTAGTAAAGGATCACACTCGGGACAACAGCTACTCTCAGAAAAGCTGGTCCATTATGCAGGAAAAGAGAAAACACAGAGATGATGTATGCAAGGAATGACATGAGGCAGCTCTGTATAGCCAAATGATAAAAAAAAAAAAAAAAAGAGGAAGCACAAGCAAGGAGAGAAACTGAACTTGCAGAGGAGAAGGGAATATAATGCAACGATCTGAAGACAATAGCCTCTCGAGGATACCTTATCGAGTACTTCCTGTGTAAAAAGATGGCTGCTATTAAACAACATATGGAATTTAAAAAAATTGACAAACAGAAAAGGAGATTTCAAGCATCTTTCATGTTCATGGACTAAAATAGGAGTATGGCTAAAGAAGAACTAGCAAAATGCAAACAAAGAAATGTCTGTTACCTATAGTTAGTGTTAGCATTTATATTACATTTAAATATAAGGCACCAGACATACAGAAGGTAACTATACGTTTCCAACAGAAATAATAATTTAAAAATTTAAGAGACACCCAGTAATAACATGCTAATAAAAATATGTTTCAAGAGATAACAATTTTCAGATGATTTTTATAGACTTCTTTGGTTCTTGCTACAGTTATTTTTTAGTGCTCGCAGAAAAATTGGAAAGGTTCCAGATGTAATTTTTGTTACATTCCCCACAACAGAAGGAGCCCCCAAAGTCAAAGAAACAAGTCCAAAAGCAAAATTATCTCT